CGCCGCCGCCGCCCGTCTTCTCCGCGCCGCCGCCGCCGCCGCTATCCAGCCGCCGCCGCCCCCGTGCGCCTTCCCGCGCCGGCCGCCGCCGCTCTTCTCACTGCCTCGCTCTCTTGATTTTTCCTCTATGCTCCCGCGCCTCGCTAGCTAGCTAAGCTGCTTTTCTCGATCGCTAGCTAGCCATGGTGCTCCGTTGATTTTTCTCGATCGCTAGCTAGCCACGGTGCTCCGTGCCTTTTCTCGATCCCGCTAGCGCGAGCGCCCCGATCGCACCTGCCTCGCTAGCCGCTGCCCATCCAAGTTAGTGCATCGCCAGCGCCCGCTCGTGTCTTACTCTGACGCCGCCGCCGCCCCGTGCCGCCGCGCCGCTTCCGTTTCCACTAGTTGCGCTGATTTGCCGCCGCCGCCGTGCGCCCCCCTTCCGCGCCGCTGCCGCCCCGTCGCACCGCAACCTTAACCCTACTCCTTCTATGGACTCTCCGGGCTACTTCACCATCTGCGGTGGAACCGCTCCACCGGCCGCGCCTGCCGGGTGTTACCCGTTGTCGCCACCAGCGCCTCCCCCGCAGCACCCGCAAGGGGGAGGGGGCCGACGCAACCGGCGTGGCGGCGGCCGCCTCCGCCTGCAGCAGCAGTGGTCCCAGGACGCCGGGGGGGGGGGGCGCCGTCCTATCAGCAGGCTCTCCCCGCTGGCCACTAGGCGTTCATCGGCGCGCCCTTCCAGCCGACCGGCGCCGGCTATGGCGCCCTCTTTGCGCCGCCGCCTCTCGATGGTTATGGCCCGCCTGTCCTGGCGCCGCCCTACGGGGGCCTTCCGCCACAGGCGGTACCTATGCCATGGGACCCCGCCCTCCTCGCCGCCCAGCACTCCATGCCGTCATCGAGTAGCTCTGTCGGTCGAGGCGACTAGTACATGGACTCAGGTGCTACTACGCACATGGCAGCTCATCCCGGTAACCTAACCTCCTCTACTCCCGTTCACACACCCACTCGTGTCACCGTCGGCAACGCCTCCTCCTTACCTATTACTCATATCGGTTGCACTAGCTTTCCCTCCACTTCCACACCCATCACTATGTCTAATGTTCTTGTTTCACCTGATTTAGTCACGAACCTAGTTTCCGTTCGTCGTCTTACTCGTGAGAACCCACTTACTGTTGAATTTGACGGTGACGGCTTTTCTATGAAAGACGCCCGTACCTGGATGGTCCTTCACCGATGTGACAGTCCCGATGAGCTCTACTCCGTGCACGCTGGCGCCTCCACCTCCACACCCGTCGCCCTTGCCGCCGGCGTTGACCTTTGGCACGCTCGCTTGGGTCACCCTAACCACACCGTCTTACGTCAAATTCTTAGGAGTTTCTCTTTCTCATGTGATAAGCTCGACGAGCACTCTTGTGAGGCTTGTCGCTTAGGCAAGCACGTTCGTCTTTCCTTTAGTGCGTCTTCTTCATTTTCCACTTTTCCGTTTCAATTACTTTAGAGTGATGTTTGGACATATCACGTTGCGAGTAACACGGGCTATCTATACTACTTGGTGATTTTAGATGATTATTCTCATTATGTGTGGACTTTTCCCCTTTGTCGTAAATCAGATGCTTTAGCCACACTCATCGCCTTTTATTCCTATGTCACCACCCATTTCGGTCGCCCCATACTCGCACTCCAAACCGATAACGAAAAAGAGTTTGACAACGTTGCTCTTCGCACACTTCTCGCCTCTCACGGCACCACCTTCCGTCTGACTTGCCCCTACACTTCCCAGCAGAACGGCCGCGCCAAGCGCATTCTTCGCACTCTTAATGACTGTGTTCGCACGTTACTCTTCCACTCTAACGTGCCCGGTCGGTTTTGGCCCGATGCCCTCGCTACCGCCACTCTCTTAGTTAAAATTGTCCATGTCGCCCTCGGTGGAACTACGCTCCTCACCACCTTCTCTTCGGCACACCACCGTCTTATGATGGTCTCTGCATCTTCGGGTGTCTCTGTTATTCTAGCACCGCGTCCACCACGCCACACAAGCTCGCACCACGATCCGTCCCATGCGTCTTCCTTGGCTACCCTCCTAACACCAAAGGTTACCGGTGCTATGATCCTGTCACTCATCGTGTGTACACCTCGAGGCATGTGTACTTTGTCGAGACAGTGTTCCCTTTTTTTCAGGTTCCGCCGGCTTCGGCCCTTCGGCGCCGGCCCCCGCGCCCCCTTCGTGAAGCGATGCACGGCGGCAGCCCCCGGCGCCCCCCCGGCACGGCGCCTTCTGCCGCCCCCACCTGGCTTCGTGACTCCCTCCCCCGAGGTCGAGTTCGAGCAGGTCCCCGGGTCCGCGTCTCCCTCATACGAGGTTGAGCCCGGCACCCCGCCCACCACCCTGCGACGGGCTCGACGTCGACCTCGCCCGTCGCCTCTTCCGCAGCCGGATCGACCGCCACCGCTGCTGCCGCGGCGGCCGCCGCCGCCGCCGCTACACCAGGTGCCCCCGCCGTCGTGGCCCCCGCCGCCGCTTCGGGTGCCCCCGCCACCACGGCACCCGCCGGCCATGCTGCCCCGTCACTTGGCGTGACTACCCGTGCCCGAGCAGGAGTGCTTCGGCCCAGCACGCGCTACTTCGCCGACGAGTATGTGTGCGCCGCTTCGACGATGACGCCATCACCCGTCCCCACCTCCGCGCGTGCTGCCCTTCGGGATCCCCACTGGCTAGCTGCGATGCAGGAGGAGTTCGACGCCTTACAGCGCAACCGCACGTGGCAGCTTGTTCCGCGACCCCCTCGTGCCAACATCATCTCTGGCAAGTGGGTGTTTCGCCACAAGACTCGCCCGGACGGTTCTCTCGAGCGCTACAAGGCTCGGTGGGTGGTTCGTGGTTTTCGACAGCGCGCGGGCGTCGACTTCACCGACACCTTCGCCCCGGTTGTGAAACCGGGCACGATTCGCGCCGTGCTTCAGCTGGCGGTCTCGCGCGCCTGGCCTGTGCACCAGTTGGATGTCTCCAACGCCTTCTTGCACGACCATCTCGCCGAGCAGGTGTTCTGTGAGCAGCCCACTGGTTTCATCGACACCGAGCACCCCGACTTCGTGTGCTTGCTCTCCCGTTCTCTTTACGGGTTGAAGCAGGCGCCTCGGGCTTGGTACCAGCATATCGCAGCCTTCCTGCAGTTTCTCGTCTTTCGGTCCACTCGCTCTGATGCTTCACTCTTCGTGCATCATCAGGGAGTTGACACTGCATATCTGCTGCTCTATGTCGATGACATCATCCTCACGGCGTCCGCCCCCGACCTCCTTCAGCGGCTGACTGCTCGTCTTCGTGATGAGTTTGCCCTTAAGGACTTGGGGCCCCTGCACTACTTCCTCGGCATCGAGGTGGTCCGACGGACTGACGGCTTCTTTGAGCATCAGCAGAAGTACGCACATGAGCTCCTGGAGCATGCCGGTATGCTTAACTGCAAGCCGGCGCCCACCACCGTCGACACGAAGGCGAAGGTCTCTGCTCTCGAGGGGTCTCTTGCGTCCGATGGAGCGTTTTATCGCTCTATAGTCGGTGCTTTATAGTACTTGACGCTGACTCGCCCCGACCTGCAGTATGCTGTCCAGCAGGTGTGCCTTCATATGCACGCCCCGCGTGACTCTCACTGGACTCTGGTGAAGCGTATTCTCTGTTACATACGCGGCACCATGTCCTTGGGACTCACCCTGACGGCCTCCGCCTCCACTGACCTCGTGGCCTACTCGGACGCTGACTGGGCTGGCTGCCCCTACACGCGACGCTCTATGTTAGGCTACTACATCTACCTTGGGCCCTCGTTGATCTCTTGGTCATCGAAGCGGCAGCCCACGGTCTCCCGCTCCAGCGCCGAGGCAGAGTATCGCGCCGTGGCTAATGCCGTGGCCGAGTGCTCTTGGATACGTCAGCTGCTCCAAGAGTTGCTTTGTGATGTTCACAAGGCCACTCTTGTCTACTGCGATAACGTCAGTGCGGTCTACCTCTCCGCCATCCCGGTGCACCATCGACGGACGAAGCATATTGAGCTCGATATTCACTTCGTGCGCGAGCAAGTTGCCCTTGGCCGTGTTCGGGTTCTCCACGTGCCGACGACGCAACAGTTTGCTGATGTGATGACTAAGGGATTGCCTACTCCCGTCTTCGAGGAGT